GTCCCAGCGGCCGTGAGGGGAACAGGGCCCAGGTTCCGTCGGCGGCGTCTGAGGGAGCCGCGGAGGGTCCCCGGCGGACCCCGGCAGCGGAGCTGCGGGATGAGGCGGCCGCCGCGCGAGAAGCCGGGTTACCGTTTGTCTCGCCGAATTCTCGTGGTGTTTGGCCGGGCGGCTGCGATAATGGCGTCCTTCCTCGCGAGAGATCCTCCGGAGTCGCGACTGCGCAGGCGCCACCCAGCCGCCACTGCCGCGCTCGCCTTCGCCAGCCCCGAGACGCCGCGCAAGCGCAACAGGAGGGGAGCCGCGCCCGCCGCCTCGCAGCGGGAGCTGCGTGCGGACTACGAGCCCCAGCTTCCCTCTCGGCTCGTCCAGAGGCGCCTTCCTCCCGCTGCATGCAGGGAGTTGTAGTGCGAACAGAGGTGGAGGGGAAAACAGAGGGCGAGCTGCGGTGCACGCTGGGAAATGGAGTCTCAAGACGTCTGGACGTAGTTTTAAGCGGGAAAAAGGCCTCGAGAAGGTCTGAGGAAAAATCGGGGCCTTTGTTTGGCCGCGAAGCCTCTCTTGATTTCCCTCACGAGATTTCTGGGCGGCTGCAGGAAAGGGTGGCCTCCCCTCCGCCGAGGCTGTCTTCCAGGCAGCACCAAAAACAGCACCTCTTCCTCTCCTCCCGCGAAGGGCCCATCCACGCCTGTTATTCCTCCGACGACAACGGCCATAATGTCCAGCGAGTCCCCCTCACGGAAGGCGCCCTTTTCGTGTCCCCCGTGTGCGTTTGTGGGCCGTGGCCCCTTCGGCCAGAGGCTCCCTCCTCAAAGCCAGTCTCCGCATGCAAAGGCTGCAGCGCCTTCACCTTTGGATCCGGCCCGCCAGGCAGCCGCTGCGCCCCCCCCCCTCCGGGGCTTCCTGCCCTTCGCTGGCGGGGCCCCAGCCAAAGTGGGCAAGAGAGGGAAGGAAGGATGGGGCCCTCGTGCCTTCCTTCCTTCCTCCGAAGCAGGCCAGAGGATTTCGGAGTAAAACAGACTGGGAGAGGACGTTGGCAAAGGCAGGGGCCTTTTTTGGCTGTCTTCTCCTGCGAGGCCGCTCCGTGGTTTCTGAGGTGGCTGTTCTAGAGATAACACAGGGAATGTGAGGGGAAAGTCAAAAATTAACGCTGTGCACACAGGATCCTTCTGGAAGAACAAAGGTTGACCAAACAAACCCCTCGAGGGAGGCCCAAAGCACCATCGTCTCTGTTTGGTAATTTTAGCTTCTTTGTGAGAGTTCAGACTAGATATGCAGAACCCACTCACATGTCTTTTTGGTGTGGTCCATGCCTTCCTCCGGATCTGCATTTCAAGTGAATGTATTTTTGGAGGGGGGGGCGGGTCCTGTCAAGTTCTTCAGTGTCTCCAGCTTCCTCATCCATAGGTGTGGTCAGAAAGACCATAAAATGGATGCCCTGGACCTTGGATCTCCCGTGACACATTTGAAACAAAGAGCTGAAGAGCCTCTGAGGAGAGAATCTGATGCCAAGCTTTTTTTTTCATTCATAAACCTTTGACAACAGTTCCTTGGGGCTGTGGTGAATGTGGTTTACCTGCAAGTAAACATTCCAGGAGCATTTGGGCTCTTGGAAGAATATTGATGCTTGTAGCTGTGGGGTGGGGGGTCTCTGTTTTCATTCTGCCTGTAGCCAACATGAGAGCCATATGCCAAACACTGCAACAGCTCCCCTCGCTGAGAAGATCCACATGCCATCAGTTTCCTTTACAACCCCATTGTTCTCCATGGGTCTGTTCGCCATCTGTAAACAGTTTAGCATGGATGAAAAAAAACCTTTTTTTAAAAAAAACTTTTTTTTTAAATCAAGCAATAGAAGAAAGTGGGGACGTGGTGGCGCTGTGGGCTAAACCGCAGAAGCCTGTGCTGCAGGGTCAGAAGACCAGCAGTCGTTAAATCGAATCCACGCGACCAAACTCCATGTTTGGAGTCGAACGCAACTGGACAAAAATTGTCAAGGGGAACCTTTACCTTTATCTAATAGAAGAAAAGCAGCTACACAAGATGCTGAAATGCCATAGAGTAGAACTCCAAAGCCAACTGACACAGAGCAAGGAGACAACAGTGTCCTACCAAAGGCCAGGAGAACTTATTGGAGATGGCTGGATCTGAAAGACCAGAAGGAAGGGATTATGGGCACCTCCACTCAAACCTGTGAGCCAACGAAGAACAACATGGAGAGATGAGTTGAAATTTAACTATTTGTTTGGCTTTTTAGAAAAAGAAAAAAAAAGGGGGTGTCTCTCAGTGAGATCAGAATACTTCATAAGCAGGACTGGAGGTCGCTGGTGGTTTTAAACACTACTCTTCGTAGCACCTTATTTCGGGTCTGAGTGGTCCGAGAGCTTGTCCCTTTGGCCAAAGCACTGGTGCCAGTCCAGCATGAAGATCATGAACCTGGCACGTTGGAGCAAGCATCTGAAAAGGCTCTGGGGGCAGAACCCAACAGCCAGAAGACCCTGCAGCTTGGCTGCCTGTGCCATTACAAACAGATATGCTTCTTGTAAGTATCCATAATGTGCTTGATTTTTGTTAAAAGAGCTGTTACTGGCAGCCCTGTGCCAGGAAAGCAGAAAAATTGTGGGGAGAAGATAAGGAAAAGAGCTTGGAAATTTTGTTTTGGTTAGTCCCAGCCTTCTTCATCTTTAAAAAAAAGTGATCTGTTCTTGTTACTCATGATATTTTAAAAATAATTCACTGTCACCTGTTACAGTGTTTAAAAAGTAATACAGAGCTTGATGGGGTAGTTTTATATATATAAAATCATTATATATTGCTTTAAGAAAGAAAGAAACCAAGCTGTCCTACCCTCAGGACTGCTCAGAACAGAATGAAACTTGAACTATCCTTGCCTCTAAAGTGCTAAAAATGGCAATTAAAAGTAATTTATAAAGGTAATTAAGAAGCATTTTTCATTATTATAACAATAAAGTAACCTTGTTTCCATTTCTTATATTGCTTTTGAATCATCGTGTTCCAGGTGGCTACATTATTTGTAAGTTCATACTTCTAAGTTCCAGTTCTGCTTTTCTTCATATCCTGAGCAAGAACAACACAAATCATACATATGATTGAGTGTGGAAAGGTGGAGAAAGAGAATACTTCCCCACAGACAAAGATGTGAGACAATTTTATCTTCCTGTCTGTTCAACAAATTTGCAGAACAAATCAGCTGAAATGCTGGACTAGATTCAGATGAAGGAGGATTGGGAATTGGTGGAAGACAAATGTGATAGACAGGGAAGATGGTGGACTCAGCAGCAAGTGGGTCCAGGAGGCGCCCTCCAATATTGTGATCCTCTACCCCTGGCTAAAGCTGCATGAAGTTTAAGGCTTACCCTTCAGAGAAAGCTGGTGATTATTGTACAAATTGTGAGCCCAAAGAAGGCAGCAGCATTAATGGTTATGAAATATAAATATGCACATGACATGATTTCCTCACCGGAGGCTGTACTGAAAAGAATTTCCTTCAGCAGAGCCCTGAATAATCAAGGTTGTAAATACTGAGGTTTTTCTGAACATCAAAGAAGGGAGAATGCCAGGATGGGAGAGTGATGTGCGAAAAGTCTTTTGTAGTCAGAGAGACTTCAGCTGAAATTATCCCTGGCCTAGAGCCTTTCTGCAGTAATTAGTTTATAGAATAAAAGCTCAGGGACTTGTCACTCAGTCTTAGGTGTGCAAGGATAGGTTGTGCCTCCTCATGGTAGCGAAAACCTATTCTTCACATGTGCAGGGCCCCCTCTTTTTCATCCTTAATCCACTTGTTAGCATGGCTTTGAAAACCTGGCCTTCTCCTTACTCAAAGGAATCCTGACTTTCTGGTTGACCCTGAGAAAAGGACATTCACTCCTAGCTTAAGCATTATTATTAAGCTATTATTAAGACTCAAGTGCATGTAGCATCACCTTGCTATTCAGATGAGTGAGCCACTTACTATGAAACACTTTGCAGCCTGCTCTGGTTTAGAAAAATGTGCAATGCAATGCCTTTGCAGTTGCTCTAAAATCTGTGCTGTGGGGACAGGGTTGGTGGGCAGAACAGAGCCTATTGGCTGTGGTGGGAAGGAGAGGGAAAGAGGTTTAGGCTATATGACTTTTCACCCAGATCAGTTGGGGGTTGAACAGAGTGTTGAAAGCCTCCTGATGTTTACACATTTGTCTCTAGAGACATCTCTGTGGGGAGGGCTGTAGCAGCTCAGGGCAGAGCCCTTATTTTGCATCCGGTCCAATCCCCCATGCCGGGCTGCTGGGAAGTACCACCCATCTGAATCCCCAGAAACCCATTTGTCTTCCTTGATAGAGTGCCTGTGGTTGTTGCCCAAAGAGGATGAAAACGGTAGCCCAGGCAATCTGAAAGCTGCCAGACTGGGCAAAGCTAGAGGAGACCATCCTGAACCCAGTGGGCTGACCCCCTGACTCTTGTCTCGGGCAGCCTCCTGTGTTTCTGGAAAGCATTGGCTAAAAGCGAGCTCCCTAAGCTAGTAAAAGAATGTGTTCCCCTCTAGCTGGTCCAAACTGAGGGGGTCTGTGCAGAGAGACAGGATTGGGATGGTGAGTGGTTGGGAGCCACAAAGCCAGTGCTGCCTTCCTAGGAACCACCCCCAGATTCTTCTTCCTATTCTCAGAACAAATCTTCTCCCACTGCTCACCTGGGCTTTCAGGAAGGAAGCCAGTGAGGTCCCATGTTTCACATTCAACCCATGGGCACCACTGATGCACCAACAGCCCCATAGGCCGTTGTCTTTGGAACCTACCCTGGCATCTCCGCTGTGTTGAAAGGCCAGATAGGTGGCAGGAAGCGGGTTTGTTCATCCAATCTAAGCTGCTAGTAATTTGTTCTGATCTTGGTATGTACCGTTTCTATAACTCAGGTGTGTTTCAGTGACTGTTTTTCCCTTTTCTGACCTTCACAAATATTTTTTGAAACAGATGGCAACAGCCTTTTAGAAACATTACTTTCTGTGCCACACTGCTACACCACCTAAGCTTGAGTTATTCCCTTAAGTATACGTGTCTGTATATAGCTATGTAGACGCATGTGCTCAGATGGATGGATTATAGTGCTACTGAGGACAATGAAAAGTTCTGTGCATTTCTCATATTTGCAGTGGATCTTATGCATGCTCAGTCGAAATACATGCCACAGATTTCACTGGGGATTCTGCCAGAGTAAGTGTGCCCAACGTTGGAGCATAAATCAACCAACCACATCACAATTGTTACTTTGTTTGCTTTCACAAATTCTTAGGCATTTCTATCATGCTGCCATTTTATAGATAAGACCTAGTGGGTGAAAAGGGGCTGGAAGGGACATCTAGCCTGTATTTCGGATTTCTTCTACATTTACTTCGTACAGAGAGAAGCCGTTTGCCTTCCCTGTCTTCAGGCTACCAAGTGAAATAGAGGTCCCTCCAAGCATGGGATTACTTGACTGCGTGATCACATACCCTCTGCTGCTGTTGTTTTCTCCCAAAGATACTTTTTCTTGTTAAGAAAAAGTGTGTATGAGGCAATAGAGAAACACAGGAGACTGTTGGGTGACTGAGAGGGAAGGTGCCTGTGATATTCTGTGTTGCCTAGAGGGGATTGAAGTTTTAGCCAAGTGAAGTTGGCAATTTCCTGGTTTGAAGGAAGTGCTTTCTTCCCAAACAGAACTCTGACAGACAAGCAGACGGTATGGATCGCAGCAAGACAGCCACTGGCAAGAAACTGTGTGACTTATTTGTGCTGTGCCTTCACTATCTGGAGCTTCTTCCAGATTGTCAAAGAAGCCTTTTCTACCCGGAAAAAATGGTGACGGCTGTCGCCTCAGCTTGTGTTGCTCTGGCAAAAGCCTTCGAGCCTGCCGGGAGTGGATTCAGGAAGACTTGCCTTCCCCACATCCCAATCCCACCTCTTGCTGGTTTGGCCTGTTCGAGGGATTTCCTGTGGAAATAGATTGAAAGCTTATTTTTAAAATCTTGCCTTTGATTCACCTCCTCCCCCTATCTATTATGACGGCTGTCGCCTCAGCTTGTGTTGCTCTGGCAAAAGCCTTCGAGCCTGCCGGGAGTGGATTCAGGAAGACTTGCCTTCCCCACATCCCAATCCCACCTCTTGCTGGTTTGGCCTGTTCGAGGGATTTCCTGTGGAAATAGATTGAAAGCTTATTTTTAAAATCTTGCCTTTGATTCACCTCCTCCCCCTATCTATTATTAAATAGAATGTCCCTACTTTCTAACTATAGTATCAGGAGAAGATGAAAGCACAGGCCCTGAAAGGAACCAGTACAGAGGCAAACGGCAGGCTCTTTTTTTGATGAGAGTTTGTGAAGTTGGCTGTTCTGGACTATAACAGGCTCTCCAACCTGCCGCTAGCATGACTAGTGGCTGTGCGGACAGAGGGATTCTTGGGGGAACTGTCCTCAGAAGGAACGTTTGCAGCTTCACCCAAGACAGCTGCTTGAGAAGCCTTGCCAATAGCAGAAAGTTATAACAAAGTGTTCCTCTGGGCTTCTTCCTCGCTCCGGTAATTGTAAGATACAAAAAAAATCTTGAAACAGGTGGCATGCCCCCTGCCATCTTTACTAGACAGCTGCCCCTGCTCCAACGTCTTGGGCATCTTCCCTGAACTCTGTTACCCGGTTGCCTTTCTTTTCTACAATTCAGTTTTGCCTTGTCAGAAGGGTTAAAGATACAGAACATTCCATCGCAGCATTGATGATAACAAAAAGTTAGACGGCGGTCTGTCAGATCTGCTTTGATTTGGATGCCTGCATTGAGCAGCGGAATTGGATTCTATGGTTCTGTGGGCAGGCCAAGATTCAAGATGGTCTTGGTAGCCAATGCCATTAGGACTGGGACCCTTCCCCCCTCCTGCTGCAAACTTCTGTGGTTCCCCCCCCCCAAAAAAAGAGAGATTGGGGAGGGGGTTACAGAAGACAGGCACAAAGATCAGCTTTGCAGGGGGGCTCCCCTTGCCTTGTCTAGGGAAGAAGACGCAGAGGTCCCCACAGTTTCCTCCGGTGGGAGAAGGGCGAAGGAGGCCCGCTGCCCGCTATTTGGCAATCCTGGAAGGTGGAGTCCAGGCGTCCCTCCCTCCTAGAGGAACTGATTCCTGCTAAATCCATGGGATTCCCCTCCATGTTGGCCAGGCATTCCTGAGTGCAAGGGATTTATTTCCTCAAGGACTGAGGGGGAACTTGCCCCGGCCACAAGCCACCAGGTTTCCCGATCGGGTGGGCTTTCCGCACAGGGATGGCCGGCCTTCAGCTTGTCATGTTTAACGGAGCTGCTTGGGCCATTTTTGTATTTACGATGTTTCCTTTTTAAAATCAACACAAAACAAGGCGTGTAGAAACATGGCACTAGCACGTACTGTAGCCCGACGGGAGATCTGACGGTTTGTTGTTTTGCGAATGAGTAACAAGAACAAGTCGCTGGCAAGGGGGCGGT